TCTCCTTTCAGGCCAGGATAGACGAATGTCACCGAGCAGTGACTAAGTTTGTGGTCAAAGGCTTGCACCCATTTGCCACAGCAGATGCCTCCGATTTTTATTAAGTGAATGTGTTTAATTGGAGCCAGTGACATTACTGGATATTCTTGTGTAATTGTAATTATTGCTACTGAAGAATATTTATTTTATTATTTTACATTTACAATTTTTTCCCCTGGGGACCCTGTGACACCCCATTGAAGAGCCGAAGGCTGGATCTCTTAAGATCTCACTTCTGGGTTTGTAAGGCCATGTTACTCCTAAATTTCTATCTTAGATTAGATAGAGATGTAGATTAGATGAAACTTTATTAATCCCTCGGGTGGCTTCCTCCGGGAAATTCAGTTTCCAGTAGCAAAGCACCGAAAGAAGTTGCATGTTACAGATACATTAAGGGGAATGAGAGTAAGAATATAAGCATAAATACACCATATATACACATATACACATATATAGATACAGAATATACAATATGGATAAAATCTTGTTCAAAGAGAAGATATAAAACAAAATTCTAAGCTAATCGGCCTGTGTGTTCTCCTTTTTTAAAAACAAGAATTGATAAAGAATCGAATCGTTCAACAGAATCGAAAATGGAATCGGAATCGTGAAATTCCCATCCCTAATCGCTTCATATTAAGGTAAAGACCCGACAATAATACAGAGAAAACCCCAACAACGACACCTATAAGCAAGCGCTTGACAACAGTAGGGATGAAAAACAGGAAGAAACCTCTGGCAAAACCAGGCTCAGGGAGGGGCGGCCATCTGCTGTGACCAGTTGGGTGTGGGGCGATAACCAAGGGGTGGTTCGGGGTGACCTGATCCAACACTAACTATGAGCTTTATCAAACTGGAAAGTTTTAAGCCTAATCATAGAAGTAGAGATGGTGTCTGTCTACTGAATCCAAACTGGGAGCTGTTTCCACAGAAGCTGAAGCCACTGCCTCCTTTTACATCTACTTTTAAATACTCTAGGAACCACAAGTAAGCCAGCAGTCTGAGAGGAAAGTGCTCTGTTGGGATAATATGATACTATGAAGTCTTTAAGATAAGATGGAGCCTGATTATTCAAGATGTTGCATGTGAGGGGAAGGAGCCAGTGAACAGAATATAATATGGGAGGAATATGCTCTGCAGCATTTTGGATCAACTGAAGTCTTTTCAGGGAGTTTGTAGAGCGATTTGATAATAATGAACTGCAACAGTCAAGTCTAAAAGTAATAAATGCACAAGCTAGTTTTTCAGCATCACGTTTCTAATTTTAGTGATATTGCAAACATGAATTAAGGCAGTCTTACATATTTGTTTAATATGCGCACTAAGGGATATGTCCTTGACAAAAATAACTCCAAGATTCCTCACAGGGGTACAAATGTCTTCATGAACCAATAAAAGAAGCCCAGTTGCTTTCAGCTCAAACACTTAGGACTACCAAGACCTGAATGACTGACATATCAAGAGAAATTTTTTTATTAGTCTTAATAACTTTAATTCTGTGGTATTGGCCAGCTATGTTCACTAATTCAGGTTATGCCACATTCCTCTACATTTAAGATTTAACATTTTTTTAACATTTCTTTTTAAATTATGTGCATAATTGTTTCGTTTTTTAAAACATAGATGTATGCTCTGTTACTACGATAAAAAAGCGAGATAGAATCAGACTCGGAAAGACGGGAAGGTGAAGGAAGGTCTAGTGGTTATATGGACAGGGGCCAGCTGGAATGGTGCAGACAGAGTGTATATTTCTTTTCTGCCGCTGAATTATAAGAGACACTCTGAAGAGACAGATGCCATAACAGATACCAAAAACTACTCTGCTCTGTCAGCAGTCAGCTCCTAAACTTCCTGTGACAGAAATAATTAAGCTGTCTGTCAACATCAGAACTAAAACATGGCTTCCTTCGTGGCTGGACACGGAAAAAGACGTTTTTTTATTTGCCAGCTCCAACATGCACAGTATTAACGTCACCCAAAATCTCAACTCCACTATTCTTTTATACTTTTTTGTACAGCTTCCATTAACCCCTCTAAGTTTGTCCAACGCCAGGATAGCAGCCTCCAGTCTTTACGCTAGGCTAACTGCCTCCGGGAATACAATCGAAAGTGGAATTTTGAAGTGGAGAGAAGCTCTCATGTGAGGTTTTTTTAAGAGAGAGACCGTACAAGGACAGGTGAAAACACACGTCTTTTAGCATTACATCGACCAAGGCCCATTCACAGAGCTTCAACAAAGGCTTGAAGGCCAAAAACAAATCATTATTTATGAAGGCAAAGCATAAAATGCATTTCTGAAAGCCGCTGCTCACAAAACCCAAAACAACACAACACAGTGGAGCCATCACATATTGGGTTACTTCACACAAATGGAGATTTAAGATGGCTGCAATCAATACGCACTGACACAGGGTCATTGTTTAAAAGCGTATGAATGCGGGTACTTTAAATGTTAGCAGACAAAAGCCTTGTGAAGGTCAGAAAACAGCTGGCAGTCGATTACCCGCTAAATTGAAAAGCAAAGCAAGTATAAAACATATAATAAACTCCAACGTAGATATCAACTTTATACGACGTGAACCAGCTTTTTTATCGTTGGAAGGAGTCGCTTGTGTAAACCATGACGGATCAATGTGTTTCTGAGGATTAAACAAGTTCAAAAAAACAGGCTCACCTTTACATCCACGTGAGCCATGAGGACAGCAAAGTTGGTCAGATGTGTACAGGAGCATGTGGTGTGTGTCTTGTTGGTGCCTAGCAAGCGGCAGTCCTGCGTCGACCAGTAACCAGTCATGGTTCGCTTGCTGTAGCTCCAGAACGAACAGTTGGGGTTGAAGTTCTCCTCAGATTGCTGTTCGGAGGGGGAAAGACAGCAAAGGGATTTGAAGTTAATCGCACATTTGCTTGGCTTATTTCTGCTTTACTTTTATTTTCAGAGCAAACATCCTCAAAAAAAAAAAAAGGGTCCAATTTCTCCCCAATGCAATCCATATCCGTTGTAAAGTGAATAGCAGGTGTTTTTGCTGTCATAAAGCATCAAGCGGCCCCCTTGCCTGTCATCCATTGTGCTTTTTTGACCTTTCTCTTTAACTTTCACTGCGTGACAGTGAGCTGCCCCACAGCTTAATGGGCACCACTGCTGTCTGTGCCGGGCTCCGGTCCTAATGACGGGCACGCCTCCCTGCCATCTTGCTCGCCATTTCATAAAAGTCACCCACAACACCGAGGCTGAGTAACAGACAAGCACAACAGAACGCAGCTGCTGATAAATAGACACATCAACAGCCTCTTCCTCTTGAGCCCAATTCTTTTGCAGCTACGAAAACAAAGAGCGAGCGTGCACACGCACGATATCCTTTCCACAGCGACCCTCAGCTTCCAAGGTTAAACGCGTCTGCGTTCTTGCTGGAGATGCTGGGCGATGCTGCAGCTTTTCATAGTTTCACACGCTGCAGGGTGATTAGTCTAATAACGTTTATCCTCTGCGAATGTAAATTTGCCGCTGATTGAGTTTACCCTTCACACACCCAAACCCTGCGTTAAATATTACACGGAGAGGAGGTAGGATGACCCTCTGTCCCATTAATGGCTTTAATTGGTCCCATTAAGTGGCGAGGCAAGGAAGCGAAACCATAACTAGAGGACACATCATCATCTCAGAAGACCAGTCATCCAAAACCGCATGGTTTAGATGTTAATTTTCAAGGGCAAAGTTGAGCTAGATTCAACTTAGAAGAGCTATAAGACGAGTACCTTGGATTTAGTATGGAAGCCTAATATAGAAGTAATGTAATGCCTACACTATACAGTGGCTGGATTCGGTTTACATGAAGCTGCTATGTACCTCAAGTTGTTTCACACAGTGGATGGACTGTAGCTGTACTAAGGCCCATATAAATACACCAATACCTAATGCTGTGCTGGTTCCCATTTTACTCCCAGAACAGCCCTGACCAGTCGAGACATGGACTCCATGAGACCCCTGAAGCTTTGCTGTGGTATTTGGCACAAAGATGTTAACAACAAATCCTGCAAGGTATGAAGTGGAACATCTGTGGATCCGACTCCTTCGTCCAGCACATCCCAAAGATGCTCGATTGGACCGAGATCTGCAGAATTTGGAGGCAAAGTCAACACCTCAAACTCGTTGTTTTTGCTCCTCAAATTATACCTGAACCATTTCTGCTTTCTGGCCACTATCAGGGAATACAGTTTTTATGAAAGGGTGCACATGATCCGCAACGGTGCTTATGTAGGTGGTGTCAAAGTAACATCTGCATTAACTGCAGGTTTGAAGCATCACATTGCATAATGCATCCTGGTGTCAGGTGTTCCCCAGGTAAGCAACACACACGATTCAACATAGCAGGACACGTCCTTCCACTGCATCCAGTTCTTATGCTCACATGACCATTGTTGATGGTTTTGGTGGTGAACAGAGGTCAGCACGGGCACCCTGACTGGTCTGCAGCTATGCAGCCCCCTACACTTCCTTGGAGCCCTTTTTGATAGATAATCACCACTGCAGACTGGCGCCGGCCATCACAGTTTGATCCTTGTCAAACTCCCTCAAATGTTTACAGTTGGCCATTTCTTCTGCTGCTAACAGATCAACACTGAGGACAAAATGTTCACTTGCTCACTAATATATCCCACCCAGAGCAAGAGCAATCCAAGAACAAACATATGGAGTTGTAAATGAGCAGAGTAGTACTCACATATCACAGTCTTTACAGTTTTATCACACCAGAATATAATAAGCAAATAGAGACCCGTTAAACGAAGAGCTCATTCAGCAGCACCTCTGTTTGGTTTACAAGAACAGGGAGCTCTCGATTTGATGCAAAAGTCAATACTATATATAATAATGCAACCAATCAAATTTAATTAACGGAGGAAGACGAGATTATAATCACGACTATCACGACTAAAGAATGAAAACAAAAAGATAAAAAGCAGAAATGAAAAATGACTGTCAGTCAAATGAAGGGAAACTGTACAGCCCCTCATGAGGACGAGATCTGCTTTAAAAAATAAATCTTTTTATTTTGGCGAGGGCACATTTACGTGAGGAAAAGACGAGGCGGCTCTCTTGGCACACTGCAGGACTACAAGCAGGAGAAGCTTTTCCAAAAGGGCACTTTTTATTGAAATGACTTGATCTGAGCTAGAAAAGGGTATAAAAAGCGCCAGTACCCTAACATTAGAGCAACAGTAAAATTAGTGAATCTACAGTCCAAATTACAAATTACACTTAAGGCAGGTGAGTCAGAGCAATAACTGCGCTGACATTGCCCCCCTGACATTTCCCCACCACTTAATTTTTGACTTCCATAAGCTATCGTCCCTTTCTCTTATTCCCTCCCTCCCTCTGCGCTCTGGGTCCTTTTCCTTTTTTTTCTGCTGTTGTAACTTTCTTCCAGGTCCCTCCCACACGCGAGACCCGCCGCAATTCTGCTATGGTTGCTCAACATCTCCGGTAATAGCTGAAAGCTCTGTTTGCAGACAAAACAGGGATATTTTGAGGGTAGCAGAGTGTGGAGAAGATAATAGAGTCAAGAGGGGAAAGTCACGACTCCCCACAATGACTAAGCAGCCTCCATCGAGGCCGAATATGACTGATATTTGTTCAGGAGATCAGGTTGCTGTTCAAACTAATAAACAACAAGGTGTTCTTGCCATCACCCTGTGAGCAATGTTGTTTTCCACAATTTAATTTTCCACACCTTTCCTTGAATAAAACTTGTTCACATTCGCTTAATTTTCCCGGGTTTGTGATGGGATTTGTACGTTTTGTTGCACTTCGGTGATAGAGGAAATCGTGATGACAGGTGCTATCAAGAAAGTGAATGTGTGAGCGCATGTTTTTGTACGTGAATGAAAAAATCAGAGGCACTGACATCAAAGTGAAACCCATCTCTCAGATACACAAACATGCGGACGCACAGAATTACCTGCAGATGTCTAATGGTGAAAATGACCGGGTCAGAGAGGTAGACTTTGTTAGAGTCCTTGTTGATGGCGGCTGTGATGACCGGCGAGTTGACGATCACAGAGTAGTTGGTGGCCAGGGCTTCGCTGCCCAGCTTCATGCTGGCGTTCTCAGTTGAAAGATAGACCCCGATGTGCTTGTACAGGACGAACGCTATTCGGATTTCACCTGCAAGAGGACAGTTATGAACAGTCTCGCACTGATTAAAGAACGCACTGGATCCGGTATCACTTCATTTTAAAATAGATCTTTGACACACACACACACACACACACACACACACACACACACACACACACACACACACACACACACACACACACACACACACACACACAGTAAGGCTGGGCACTGATAGGAGAGTCACTGGCCAGTCTTCCAAGCTAAACATGTTTTCAGACAGTAAACAGTTTCCTGCTCGCTTTCAGTGATGATTGAGTGCTTTGACTATTGGCTAAAACTTCCTCAACCAGTGGCTTTAAATCAAAACACTGAAGAGAAATGCTCTGGAGAAACACCAGCTTCAAGGATCTTCTTTATCTTCTTCTTTCCACAGCAAAAGAAGAATGCTGTGGAAGAAGAATGCCAACATGAAGATGTCCCGTGAAAAGACATTGAACTATAGTTTCTTTCTTTCTTTCTTCTTTTTTCCCTAGCTGGCGGTCAGGAGGACAGGTCGCCCGAAGCCAATACGTCGCAGTGGGTGCCGTAGGGTTTCCATCTTGGTCAACGATGCACTTCCAGGCCTTGTGATATCTGGCCTTGACCTTTGCTTGATCGAGGATGAGACGTCGTTGTTTAAGATCATTTTCAATTTGCTTGATCCAACTCTTCTTGGGCGCATGACTCTTGATTCTCCAGTGGGGTGCTGCTACAGCAGAATGCGATATGGCAGGCGATGGTCACTCATGCGGCAGATGAAGTCGACACTTCTGGATCAGCTCTTCCATCGAGGGTTGCTGGTGACACTGACTACATACCACGCTGTTGCTGAGACGGTCACCGAGCGACACTGAGAATCTGATGCAAACAGCACATTTGGAAGACCTCGAGCTTGTTGAGGTCGTGCTTGATTATGACCCAGGTCTCGGATCCATAGAGAAGAATGGGCAATACCAGTGTGCAGTACAGGCGGATTTAGTGATGAGGGTGACGTTTGTCTTCTTCCAGATGCACCATCGGAGGGAGGCGAAAGCCGCCGCTGCCGCTTGAACGATTCTTGAGTGTACTTCCGCCGTTGATGCCACTTTCTTTTCTTGCACCAGAGAGCCGAGGTATCTGAACTATAGTTTAAAATGGTTTATACTCAATGTTTTTTTGGATTGTGTCCACAAACCTAGGGTGCAGTACTACTTACATAATGTGAAAACAATGCACATGATAATCTGTCATGTTATTTATACCGCTCACACAGCACACTCAAATTAGAAAAATGCTAAAAGTGATAACGAATGGACCCACTCACTAAACAAAGCTTCTTAAATCTGAAGTCAGAGCAGCACATAGTACAGACAACAGACAGGGCTACAAATATGGCTGCACACGAGGCAGAAAAGCAGAAATCATTCAGAAATCATCAGACTTAAATAAAAAAAACAGACTCCTATTGGCACTGACAAAGGCAACCATTTTTCTTGTTAATCATTTCCTCCTTTTTCCTCTCCCCATTGCCTCCTGCTGTCTCACTTTTGTGCATTCAAAGTTCCCTCCCGCCGTGTCTGAGATCACTCACTCTGATGAAAAGAAAACAATTTGGGTGCTATGGAACTGCATATCGGGGAAATATTCGCCACCCTGCTATAATGATCCGCCTGGGCACGGCTGGACATGGACTTAGTCATCCAGCACAGACACGGGGACGCAGCTTGAGTCGATTCTGATTTGCATGAGCTGATAATAAAAGTCTAAAAATGGGGCGACACTGCTCCCAAAGATATCTATGTATAGAGTCTAACTGCCTCATTTACAGTTTAGTGGCAGAGCTTGAATGTAACTAATTCAACAGCCAGGGTCTTATTCAGAGGCTGCAGAAAGATCTAAGCGCTTTATATGCAGACCAACAAAGGACTGGGGAAGCAAAGCGAAAGTTATTCACCAGCATCTGTGATAAAATTCCTCCAAAACCAATGGAGGCCCATGCAATGACACAAGTGGAAGAAGCAAAAAAGAAAAGACGACAAACAGCAAAAGAATTTTTGATTAATTACAGCAGCTCTCGTAAGCCAAGTAACATAACAATATTTCTATTGTAGCAAAGTTGAAACTTTTCTCTTAAATTTATCATAACCATGAATAATAAAACACAGAGTGAAGGCGCGCATGAGCCAAGATTGCACTTCAAACCCACAATACGGGAGCAATAAAAGCAAATTCAAAAGGTCGAACTTCTTACCGTTTCTTCCGTGCTGCTTCAGTGTGTTCGCTGAGAGGTGGATAGAGTTGCCTTGTCCTCCGGATTGTGGGAACTTCAGATCAGGCAAATTCCCATCTGTGCTCATTCTCGCTACCTCCAGCTCTGCACAAAACAGAACAAACCCAAGCAAGCAAACAACATTAAGCAATCAATAGAGGGCTACAGCAACCGCTTTGGACACTGGGGTCCTGTCTCTCAACTAAGAATTTAGCTAGAGTATCGAGTACATGGAAAGTATTTTGCAGACTGGCTGAGTCGGACTCACTTCTTTTACAACATTAATAAAAAATCTCAGAGTTATAGCCTTGACAGAGAGCTGGATGTTCTTTTCCCCAATTCAAACCAAGCTGACTTTACTTATTTTTTTGACTTTTCTATGACTTCCATGACTGGTTTACAAAATGGCTCCTGGGAAGAACAACAACAAGCAACCGACTGAATCATTGTATCAAATTTTTGTTTTTCCAAGCCCGTAAATAAGCATGCAGAGCAGTACCCAAAAGTTTGGGAACACTTTGAAAAGTCTTAATAAAATATGTACACAGTCAAACAATCACTGCTTTATTTCAATGACATGTTGTATTATCTAATGCAATTTTATCATTTTAATTGATGACATGAGCAAAGATGGTTAAAGAAGCAACAAACTTGGCTTGAGTTTGAAGCACTAGCCCCAGAAAAAGATAAACACCAGGGTTTGCAACTCCCTTCATGGATAACCGTCTTTAAGTCTGACGTCATTAGCCATTTTCCGGGTCCAACCTCAACCTCTGCTTCAGGTCCCAAAGTAAAACGTACACTGCAGCATCACAGACAGTCACTGGCTAAATTATTTCGTCTGTTCGATGTGGCTGCTCTACCAGGTGTAACAATTACGTTTAAAATCCAGGCATCCATGAAAACAGAGTTTATTAACTTTAACAGAGTGAGAAGTTAGCCGGACGTTAGCTCGCTAGTTCCCACCTAAACATGATATAGCATGTTCTGACCGAGAGATTTCTGAAAAAATTAAAACATACAGCTCTGCTATCACTTCCAACATAACTGAAGACAGAAAAGTAAACAGCAATGACATTTGTAGGGTTACTGAAGTTGGATTAGCTTTATATAATGATGTGCTATGTGGTGGCTAGCTAAACAGCTATGGTTAGCATAACATAAAGACAGTGAAGCTGGAGGATCAACGCTAACTTTTTAATGTGAGGGTTCCTGATAGTTTGGGACAGATGCAATTACATGACAGGATCCTGTAGACGGACTGAACTTCAGTCAGGAGAACAACTGAGATAATCCATCCACAATAAAAGCTTAGTCATTAATATACAGCTGCATGGGCTGGGCTGTAGTTATCTTAAGGCTTTAAAAACTGAGTTTAAAATGAACAGTGACAATAAAAAATGAGAGAGGCCAACAGTGATCACTGACTTTGTAGGGGCTTGTTGAGATTTAATAGAACAAGATACAAAGCAATAAAACACGCTAAAAAGACAACAGCATTAATAAACGCAGAGTATTTTCGACCCGGAAACAGGGTTCATACGTCATCACCTAAACACCGGATAGGACAAACTGATCAGCATCTTTAACTGGTGAAAAAACATCTGGCCTCGTCAACAAGCTACTCCGATTTATATTTAGGGAAGCCAGATTGCACTGGATAGTGGAGGGAGTAGCAGACAACGCTGCAGGAAATCATCACTTTTTCAGCATTTTTCCAAAAGAACTGCATTTTGACGCTATTATTAGCTGATGCTCCGGAAACTCAACTAGAAAGATCTATTGCTTCTTTAATCAGCACCAAAGTTTCAAACTATGCTAACATAACAAAGTTTCCTCTGATGATCAATCAAACTTTTCACATGATAAGCTCGCATTAGGTAATAACATGTCCCATTCGTGATGGTAACAGATATTAGATTAAAAATCATAAGTCATCCAAATCCATTCATTACTGGTCGTTTACAAGTTCTCTCATCAGTTTTTATGCTTCATAGGTACATGAAGGAAAGCTGTTTTTCAAAAGCCAGAATTTTAGAGGGGTAGAGTAATTATGCTTTGTATATCACTGTACCTACACCAAGCAACAACACAAGCCTGGGTAAGAAATTTGTTATTGATTACGACTGATGGAATATTTAAACTGTAGTCAGAAAATCTTACAGCTAACAGCTGGAGCAGATGCTAGCAAACTGCAAAGAAACCTCCAATTGCTATATTGATTCCAAAAAGCATTCATCGTGTAGCAGCTGGTTTTATTAATCACTGCATCGCCAAAGAGCTCTAAATACAACACATCCTCACTTGATTCACTCAGCATTGACAGAAGAAGTTATCTGTTGCGACTGTGTACAGTTTACACATGGCAATGTTGTTTTTCCCCTAAACTGTAACAACAAAGGCTGTCTTTGCTTTATTAAAAAAAAAGACACCTTCATTCTGAGGAATCTTTTTCTCCTGAAGAGCACAGAGAGTGAACGATGGAAGGAGAAAATAAAGACCGACGGGACAAGACAAGCTCGCTTCTGCAGCAGTTCAACAGCTGTTGTGTCTGAAGCGAGCACCGAGCTCCTAATTTATGGTTCAAAGACTCTGGTGTCACGCAGCAGAGGAAAATGAGCTGCTGATAGGAGCCTGGCTCAAATAAAAATCTCGTTCCATCAAAGTTATTACGGCATGATACAATTCAATTTAATAAAGCAGTCTAGTGTGCTCCTCTCTTAAGTACAGGTGACCTGTGTGAAGTCTAGGCATTCCTAAATGTCAAATTAACTCCCAGAGCGCTGAGATGAGTCTGCTGATTCACAGCTCGGTAGAAATACAGGAAAGAAGTTACACAAATGCACATTTCTAAATGTGCGGTGTGGATTAATAGAGGCTGTGGGTGTAAGTAAACAATGCTGACGTTTATGTAAGAGATTACAGTTTTAGCCACGATTGTGCAGCTCTTGTAAAGAAATGTCACTGCAAATGTGTAAAATCTGGTATAAGCTGAAGAAACAGTCACGGAAATGGTATTAATAGGTTATATTGTAATCTAGACACCTACAGATTTCCATGAGATGGAAAAACAATGGGACAGTCCAACAAGCAGTGACCAGCTTACAGTGAAAACCGAAACCGCAGGAAAACAGCAAATGAAAAGCTGT